AATACAATAATATAGACCAACAATAAAGCTATGAAATTAAAAGAAACAGAAGAAAAAAAAAAAAAAAAAAGTAAAAATGACAACAATCATCAACATGGAAGCAAAGTCTATAAAAAGATAGCGTTTTAAGAGGTCACTGTTTCTAGGCAAACACCGTTCTCCTCAGGGCAGACCTACCCTTTAGATTTAAGCCTTCGGAACAATTGGTAAGAGCCAGAAGGGGCCATCCCAGACCCTGAGGACCTAAAGTGTATCGTGCAATACCCTGGCTTCATAAAGAGGTATACTAAACATTTCTGCTCTACTGTAGCTTATGGGGCCAGAACTAGAATTGATGACAGACGAGCTTTAATAAAAGTATGAAATCACATACTTAAGTAAAAATCTTAAAATCAATTCATATAAAGACGAACAAGTGGAGCCCAATTGGAGAGACAACAGGAATTGGGGTGAAAAAGCAGGAAACACTACATCACTCAAGAGGCATTTAACATTACGATTCTCCATATACAGTAACAACAATTCCACATAATCCTCTAAATAGTGACCAAGAACAGAGATGCATTCTATTTTATATTAAGTTAATAGTCCGCTCCAAAGGCAAGATGCACTGTAGATATGCCACTGTTAGTTCGGCAAATACTTAGGTATACCTCACGCCCCTCTACTGATCAAACTCCTATATGCCATGAATATAACTTACCTTTGAATATAAGTGGTGTCAAATTCTCGATATAACTCGAACTCTGCTAATTGAACAAACAGGAATTTACAGAGCTCCTGCTTGTCAAAAAATAAGTTTATGATATAACGCAGCTCAGAATGATATCTCATCGGCCTCAAAAATCTTATCACTATAAATCTCATCAACATTAATGCACCTTTGGAAGAAAGGTTATCCATGCCTATAAATATAACATTCAAAACGGTCTAGGAAAGCTAATTCGCAATTCCATCTATCTTTGGCCTTTCCAACCCCCGAATCAACTCACATTAGACGTCTAGCGAATGGTCCAAAACCAGCTGCCGCGTCTTTTATCTGGCAGCCAGAGGCGATATTTTGGTATTCTGTATTTTTATTTTTTTTTACATTTTGTGTATCACAACGATAATTTTGCTGTCTGTCAAAGCACTTTGTAAACTCTGTTATTAAAAGGTGCTATATAAATAAAGTTTTCATTATTATTATTATTATTATTATTATTGTTATTATTTTGTCTGCCGTTTGGTGTTAACTGAAAGGAGATATCAGTACATCAGCTTGCAACATGTCTGATATATCTAAGCTTGCAGTACTTGATAAAGTAATAAATTATTAGCAGGACTAATGATTATTAATGTGACTATTATGATTAAAAAATAAATTTAAGGTAAACCTCTTCCTCCCTGACAAGAGCAACTATATAATACTTGAAATAGTCACATTTAATTAATCTCATTCTGATGGTATCATGGAGCCTATCGGTGTGCTATTAGTAGGAACCCAGTGTGTCTTACTTCAGCTGTGGGGACTGTTTCTGAGCTCCAGGTCCAGAGGAGGCAGGGATGGGACCAGGCTGGAAGGCCTGGCTGGGCGAGGTGGTGGCTGATCGGGCTCGCTGAGGTGAACCCTGGGCTGACTGGGAGGGAGAGGCGGAAGCAGAGCGGTGTCCCCCTGTAACAGGTACACGCAACTTACATGTAGATTAGTTGTTTTACAGTGTTTACTACCATAACACTGCTGCAGCCAGGAAACAAACAACAAAACAAAAACCTACCTCGTCTGGGCTGTGTGGTCTGTGGATGAAGGGACACAGAGTCATTACTGAGTCATGCACACGGTCAAGTTGCTAAGCCCACATGGACTTGAAAGACACCAAAAATAGCGCTGCAGTGGTGAAACTTATTACATTGCAAACAAAGAACTTCCTCAGCCTTCTGTCTCGCGCTCAAAAAAACTAAATCTGCCACAAAAAAGGTTCCTTTCTTAAAACACAGCTCAAGTTGCTCACAATCAATCAATCAATCACAGTCAATAGGACATTTAACTAAAAACTATAGTCCCTAAAACATTGGTCTTTTCTCTTCAGGGAGACAAATAAACCTGCGTGTTTCTATGGCAATGTACCTGAACACAACTGCACACACAGAGATCTTTGACTCTTGGTTCAATTCTGCTTCACATAAGGCTCTACACTGTTTCATATAAAGTCACGGTCATGGTAAAGTAAGAGATGATGTTCAATTATATTGTTTCAACCATCAACATGAAAGTCTAAATGCAGTTTCATTTCAAGCCCATCCACACTTAAAATATCATTATGTTGACCTAAAAGTAGTCATGATTAAATATACTCTACTGTAATGGAATTAGCTAAAAAAAATACCAACCTTATTCCAACTCCCCCCGAGATTGCTAAAACAAATTCTGAGGACATAACCCCACTGGCCTCAATAGCAGCTATGTGTGTGTGCTATACAGGGGTAATACCGACAGTGACAACAGCAGCATTAGTTGTATTACAAATGCAAATGAAAGTTAAAGAAAATAATAATTAGGTACTGTACAAAAATTATGAGTGAGCAGAGGGGGTCAAAAAGGGAGGGTGGGGAGTTTATTGCAATTCTTTTAGCTGAAGCTACAGCAGGGTAGTAGTTATCCATGTATATCTTATCTCCTATCTCCTACCTATCTTCCTATGTAATAAAGTTAATACTTTAATGCATAAATAGTTACATGAAAATGGTGGAAGATCCCAGTAACAACAACATTAAAACAATTCATATCTAATGCTGTGGTCAGATAGAGTCCAGATATTGCAATAAAGGCCCCGCAAGATTCTTCCCATTTCTGCTGACATGCAATTTCTCCATATAAATAACAGAAACAAGTTCATTCAACCAGATTCTGAAGCACGGTGCAGCGGGAGCCTCCAGCCTTATGTTGTTTTACCAGTACCATGCCCATCAATAGAGCTGTTTGAATGAGTGGGAGGAGAGTTACCAGGTTTGTGTACATTACAAGTTGCATTAAGATATTAAAGTCTTGTATAATTTTGACATGTTGTAGGGAGGGCATTTCAGTTTCAGTCCTAAGTCAAGCGGAAGGTTCAAAGAAAACATTAATAACCCTGGAGAGGGCCTTATTTTTTGATAAGGTTGAGCTCCACTCAAAAACATGGATGTATTAAGGAGAACTGGATACCATGATCAAAGATGGTGCCCTGTGAGCCAATGCTGCTGTATAGTATATTATTACCAGGTCTAGCAATATTAGCAGTAATTGTATAAGAAGCAATAGTAGTAGTAGTAACAGTAATAATATCAGTGATGGTATTAATAATGATAGATGTGGCAGTAAATAATGTTTATTATAGTAGTATAAAAATGGTAGCAATTTTATTATAATAGCAAATTTATTTTGATTAATAATACTAGCATAACAACAGTATTAGCAGTAGTAACAACAGTTATGTTTATAGTTACAATAATGATAGTAACAGACACAGTAACAGTAGCACTACTACATTAAGAAGTAATATAAGTAGAAGCAGTAACAGTAGTAACGGCAGTACAAACCATGCTGTTAATAACACTAGCAGTAGTTACAGTAGTGACATTATTGGCATTAATATTAATTAACTATGTATGTAAAAGTTATGTGTCAGACATAACGCACTGACGTACCTTGACAGAGGAAGGCTGAGGTGTGGAAACTCCCAGCAGCACCTGGGCCATCTTGTTGATGATCAGCTCTGTGATCAGCTGTTTATCTTCTTCCACATGCTCACCAATCAGAGGCATGGAGCTGTCCATCACCTGCAGAGACAGAAAAACAGCCAATCAGGGGCCTGGATGGCTGATTCAGCAGGAAGTCACAAAACTGAAGCTTTAAAATTCCTCCACTAGATGGCAGTATTATATCTCTTATCACGAAGATTAGACGCGTTCAGGCCCCAAATGATGTCAGGGATAATGGACTCTGTGGTGTCTTGCCAGCAATGATGAGTCATCTTACAGAGATCTCAGACAATATAAGCTATACAACACTCTGCTGGCCTTTAATACAATTTATTGCCGGATGCACTGAGCATGACACTGACTCTTCTGTTTGTTCCCATGCACTACCATGCTCCTCAGAAAGCTCCTTGTCCTGGATCTGTCCCACTACATCCTCCATTAGAGCTGCAGCAACTACTGCAGGGTAGTTCAGCAGTTTTTAAATCAGGGGTTTGAGATCCTGTGATGTTTGCTTTTTTCTTTTAAAATCCTCCTCAGCCCCTCAGCGCTCTCTGATAAGATATCACAGGAACCAAATAAAAAGATAAATAGTCTACTGTGAATGTGCAGCTTGGGATGATAAAATCGTGTCATTTTAAGGTCTCATGAGACAAAAACGTTCCTGACCTATTCTCCATTTACGCTGTAGATAAACTGAATCGGCACATTTGAACACACAAATCTCATCTTTCAAACTAACTGCTATTTTCCTGTGCCACCCTCTCTTTCCAGTGAACAGCAGATAAAATGTGACTCCATCTGTAAATATTATGTTCCCCGGGTATGACTTGGAAGGGCACAGACCACATCCATTGCCACACACAAATAATTAACCTCAAAGAAAAGAAAACAGCAGCTTTCCCACAACTTGAGCTCACATGCGCATACACGTGTACTGAACCACAGAGCACATGGCACTCTGAGACCTGCCATCCTCATCCCTGAAGACCAAAACAAACAGAAGCAGGAGAAGTGTGGCTGCTGGCACTGCCAGATGCTCGGTGTGGTGGATGAGGCTGCTGCACCGCGCCCCGACCACAGGCTGTAAACACAGTGCCGGGCATGCATGCATGCATGTGCTGATCCTCTTGTACACAGTGTATGCCAGGCAGAGGCCAGCAACCATGTGCTGCGGAGAGCATGCATGGATCCCATTCAAAACAAACACGGCACCAGCTCATTTCACTACACAGGCTTCCCCTTTACTCTGGTTGAAGCTGTTTTATTAGTGACATCAAATAAATTAACATATAATATAAAATACTTTCGTCCCTCAACAGCAATTCCAGGCAAACAGGGTTGGTAACCTAAAAACACATGTCATGTGGTGTGCTGTTTTCTTAGATTGATGGTACACTGCTGACACTCTGAAGAACCAGGGACCTGTTGTTGCTACTGTTAAACAGAATTTAGATATCTAGAGACCACTACATGTCTATAATACAGAGATCTACAGAACAAAACCTACCAGGGTTACAACTAACAGTTACTTTTATTTTTAATCCATTGATTATTTTTCACTTAAAGAACCAGTGTGTAGGTGCCATCTAATGGTGAGGTTTCAGATTGCAACTGACTGAACATTTGAATTTGACGACCTGGGAATAAGAACAGGCTGTGAAGTGGTAGAAGAAACTATGGTCACAGAGAAAATCGCAGAAAAATGCAATAGTTGTCATATCAGTAAATAAAATTGGCTGTCGGTTCTAAATGCAGGCTGTCTTTGTCTACCTCTGTCTGAAATGAAGGACCCATTGTTTCAAAAATGACTGAATTTCCACAATTATCACTGTAAACTGCACGTGAGCTGTGGGAGAAGGGAAAGCTTAACTGGCACACAACTACCTACGGCTGAACGAAGGATCATTTAAAGAACAATTTAATGGTCAGATGAAATTCCACAATCTATTGTTCTGCTATCTACTTTTACATGCACTGTATCAAACACGTTTTGCAAGTTTTCTAATGTACTCTGCACAGTATATTAAAGTGCCATCCAATAAAACATGACATATATTTTGGTAAGACCCAGCCAAGCCACCCCTGATCAAGTCTCAATCAAGTCCCTTTAGTTTAGCCCTTCCTCTCCCAACTTCGTGTTTCATGTGGAAACACGTCAAACCACAAGGCAGAATTAAAATCTTTAATGGGAGCTGATTGTTTCGTGCATTCTTGAATGAAATTAATCCAGGAAATTCTGAGTATTGAAAAAACATTTTAAATACAAACTGTGTTTTCTATTTGCTAGGGTTTTTTACTTTTACCTTGGTTTTTTAGAGTGGGGTTCATACTGTTCTACACAGAACCGCTATCCATACCAGAGAACCCTTTAAAGCCCTTCATTTTCCGTGCGTACCCAGCTTCTTGGATAGGATTTGGCAGTGTGGTGGGGCGTGGCATGGTGTTTTGGCCAGTTGAGTCATTACCACAGGGGACTGAGCAGAGCCCTGGCAAGCGACCGCCAGGCCCCACTTCAAACGGCGTGTGGTGGCAAGCAGAGCCGGGATCCACCCTGCTGATTTATTAGGATACAGAGTCATCTAGCAGAAGACTGGAGCTGCTACTGGCCTTTTCAGCACTGGAACATAGAGGTGTTATTCTGCACTTTTATTGAGCTGCACAGTGTTCTGTCTGGACAATATACCCTGCTGCTTGGGAAAGTTCACAGAGCACAACATGTGAAATGTGCTCATTCAAAATTATGGTGCAGTCGCGGTACAGGGATGGGCAAAGGGTAATGTTTTCCTGGGAAAACAATTTTAGTTTTAAGATAGCAGTGCTTGTATTCCTCCCTCTTGCGAGTTCAATTCACTTAAAAAAGCCCATTTATCTTCTTTTATCTTTGGTGTTCTAAAACATTACTTACTGTATTTCCTTCCACCTCTCTATGTCGTCCTGTATCAAATACTGTAGTTGGGGTAATATTATGTAAGTCATTTTCAGTTTCCATGTTATGCTATGTCATTTTGTTACGTAAAATTATGTCATGGTATTGAGTCAAATCATGTAACATATATGTGTGTGTTGTTTCAATTTTATCATTTGTTTGCTTTGTGAAGTCAAGGTTTTTCAAATTAGGGTGGCAGCTGCCAACTGTATAAAATGCCTGGCCACTCCAGCTGCCACCCTGGTTTTGTGTCAAATTTAACAGATTCATTTGAAAAATAATGCTTAAAAAAACAGAAATTAATTTAATTATTGTATTTTTCTGGCTTTTATTGCCTTTATTGATATTGACAGCTGAAGATAGACAGGAAAGGGGGGCAGAGAGAGGGGATGACACGCAAAACAAAGGGGCTGCAGGTTGGATTCAAACCACTGCCACTGCAGCAGGCACTCAGCCTTGGTACATGGAGCGCCAGGTGACCTATTAAATTTAATTATCTGTGGCCACAATTTAAGTGAGTTCAATGAAAAAAGACATTGTATTTGGAAAAAACTCAATATTGAAAAAAAAAAATTATTGATTACTAATGCCACCTTTATATATTTCTATTCAATGCTTTACTAATTTACCACAATAATTTCATGTTTTTAAGTTAATATATCTTCATTTTCAATTTCATGCATCATTAAATCAAAAGGCCGGTATTTTTCTTCCTGTAAAATGTCAAAATAGTGCCATGTCCTAACACATTATGTGCTTTGCGTTGTTGTATTGTATGGATGTCATAGGTCCTATTTTAGGTTTGCATCATGTCACTGTAATGTGATAAGCAATATCATCAAGTTGTGTGGCATCCTTTTACATCTCCTCAATTTTCTATTGTCATGTTACATTACTGTCATGTAATTTGACATGATATCATGTCATGTCACAGCATCCTCCATTGTATGTGCACTTTTTCAATGAACTGACACAACACTGCATTTGCTTCATGTAAATAGCGGCTGCAGTAAACTGTTAATGAAGTGCCTCTGAGGAGCTCATTACTTTTCATTAGTGAGAGGTGTCATGGCTGATGTCTTTGTCTGAAACAAAAAAATAGATTCACACTGTGATGGACCGACAGCTCTTCCTTGTCACGGTTAATTAAATTCCATCATGCTGAAGGGTTTTAGAGAGAGACAACTAGATAGAGAGGAGGAGGAAGTGTTGCTCGTCAGAGAACATTGTAATTCGACTGTGTTGCCAGTTTTTTCTGTCCAATCAGTTCGGCTCCTAAGACTACACATCTCTGGGGAGCTGGTAGATATTTCCTGAGATAGTCTGAGTCTAAAAAAGAGGCTTATTTTCTCACCGCTGACCTCACCCAGCATATAGATAGAGAGAGGAGTGATGTCATGGTCTCAGCCTAAATTTGGGCACATCAGATGTCCCAGACCGGCCTGTTTCCTCAGATTTGAAGACATAGGAAACCGTTCTAAAAACAAACCTCATTACAGATGATAAAACTATTTGTCCCCTGCTTCTCTCCTGGTTATAATCTTTAAAGGAAAATCCCCCCATATATCATCCTCTTACATGGTGTACCATCAGTCATTCCTGTGTGAGGACTTTCACACTAATTCTACTCCAGCTCCTGATTTCCTGTTTTGCAAAGACCCACATAAAAGCATGACTAACCCTGCCTGAGCATTTTTACTTTTTTATGTGCCAGTGGAGAAAGTGACAATCCTGATAACAGACTGAGATGTCTTCCATTTGACAGATAAAGCGAGTCATGCGTCTTACTTCAAATCTCAACCGTCTTATTTGCATTCTAGTCTATATCTAATCGGTCTCTGTGTCTTTACTATGATGTTTTTCTTCACATATGATTGTTGAATACTTGGGTTAAATGACAGCTGTAGAAAAAAAAACAGTTTCTCTACTCTTAGGGATAATGCCACCAAAGAGAGATCAAAACCAAATGGTTTTCTATCTTGTGAACAAACTGCTAAAATATAGCTGGACATAACATTTCTTGCAAGCTGTAAACACAAAAGTGACATTATAACCTTGTTAGTGAACTTGTTAACAAACTGCTATTTACACATCCAGACAGAACAACATTAGCCTTCATTCGAAGTCGTGTTTTTTTTTTCAATTTGCACCACCTTCTGAGGAGAATATCTAGCTCTATAGTAGCTAAATGCTTAACATTGTTCCCTAGCTAGTTGCTAAATTGGTGTTTCCTTTGGTGCTAGGCAGGTAGTCTACAGTAGCTTTATCAGAGCTATTTTGCAAAAAACAGCAGCCTGCTGTGGCTGGAAATGGGGCTGAGGTTTGGTCTCCATCAAATCCTGAGGGACAAATTTCTCTCTTTAGGAGCTAATGCTTAAATAATGTCTATTCATTGTTTTGTGCTGTGCAGCTAGCATACAGTGGGTTTATTAGAAGCCTTTTGCAGAAAATTGCCTGCTGTGTATAGAAAACAATGCTAATGAGAGCACAGAGACTGAACCAGAACAGTAAAGTTGTGGGCTGTAAAACCAAAACAATTAGCTAGAAGATGCTAAAACGCTCCATAGACCTGAGGAGAACTGCAGAGTCAGGTGACAATTCTCTGTGGTTTCATTAATAGTCAGTGGTTAACATAAAAATATTGATTAGAGAAGCTTTAACATACATGTTGCATACATTTCCCTAACCCTAACCATAACCCAGGCAGTGTTACCACCATGTTCATCCCAGTGGGGAATGAAACCCCAAAAACTTGAAGTTACTTCGGAGGAAAACCTCCTCCAAATTGGATGTGTCAGATCATGCAGCAATTGTATTTGTCTACAAACTAGAAAATGCACATGGAATGCCAAACTTTACCAGTGGACTTGAAATAAACAGGCTCTGTTGGTAGACGCAGTGAGTCAACTGCTGACTCCTGATGTTGTTTTCATTCTCCTGCCTGTGTTTGGTCTACAGACTAATCATGCTTTCAAGGCTCTGATGATCACGTACCATCAAGTCTGGCTACACCCTTCCCTGCTGACTTTCACCAAGATATGAAAAATATTATCAGAAGGGAAAGAGACTGAATCCAAGGTAACGTTTACACTGGATTGGTGTTTTAACATGCAAACCTACCAAGAACTGCTCTACAGATAAAGTGCCAGGAACGTAGCAAATGTTTGGAATGGGGCATGTTTTCCGTCTATCCACCCACCTTTAACTCAACAGCCTTTCTAGAAATCCAAACTTTTGATTAAATTTCAAAATACACAAGGACACAGTACATATCTAAGATTTTGGTCTTTCGTGTTCCAAAATATGCTGGAGGAGCAACATGTTATGTATATCTTCTTGTCTTTTATTTTGGACTGTGCAATCTCACACTGAAGTTGAGGGTTATTCTGAAAACAAACTGACCTCGATGATATAGTCGTTGCCATCTTTTCCGTGGACGGCCTTCACCGCACAGATGTCTAGGCCACCAAACATCTCAGCGCAGGAGTCCACCCACAGCCGATATCTGGAACACAGTGACACACACCACTGATAAACCAGTAATTACAACCCAATAATCTCTGGAAATATCATGAAGGATGGACTGGACTTCACAGGGCTCACAGTTACATATAAACTATACTTTCTTAGGACAGTTGCATTGTCAGCCTTTGTCAGTATGTTAAAAGTATGTAAAATTTAACAAAAAGACAGATGTCTTCAAAAGGTAGTAAACTGTATGAACAGGTCAGCATTTTCCCAGTGTACAACTGAGTCAGCTCACCTGTCAGTCATTGCAATCTGTTCCAACATGGCAGAGCCCGTGTTAGCCTTCCAGTTCCCAGAGATGGACGTTCTCCTGCAAATCAAAGACGAAACATCAACAAATGAATCAACCCGCCTCCAGCTATAAAGCTACAACGCTCAACCAAGTCTTAATCACTCACAACTCTTTTTTGTGTAGCTGAATAGAAAAGCTCGTGGGAGAAGCTATCGTCAGTTCATCAGTGATGATGATTGCCATCCACACCTACATTATGTTTGTGTCAGAGGCATTTAAAGAAATGTTTTCCTTGTGAGGCCAGGGGAAAAACGAGATGAGATAAGGCTTGGCTACTCTGCTCCTCTGCCTTTGGTCAAGTAATTGTTTAGATAGAGAGACTTGAAAGTTAAGAGGGTGTTGCTATACGCCCGGCTGAATTTACAGAACATGGTCTCTTGCGTCCAAATGGGTGTGTGGGTTTGAAGGACAAATGGGACCATGACTTTGTAAAAGTGAAGACAATGTTGATGAGAACTGCCTGTAATCTATCTTTTTTTTATCCATACATTTTTGAAAGAGGTCAATATATGATTAATATTTCTAGGATATCTCTCTAATGCTTCTGCTTTACAGAGCAAATAATCCAAAAATAACTGCTCAGTTCTGATTACGTAGGTGTACATATTTTGTGTGTTTTCTGGTGTTGATGTTGTTGTTATTGCTCTCTATATCTGGCCTAGTTACTAGTACTTTCTGATGGCATAGAAAGGGTGTCACACCTGAAACACTGGCCTCATATTTTAATCTGTTCTGATGAATTTGATTGATCTCGATGGACATGCAAATAAAAATGTGTTCTTGTTCTTACTATGCACTGTCTAATGATGGTTTCAATTTCTAATGTGACAGCCAATACCGATACCCCTTAAAGGGGAACTTTGGCA